TTTCTCTGTATTCCTCCCAGACTACCTGTAATGATAATGTTGGTAATTTGGTTATGTTTGTTTTACCTGACGACTCCTTGTGTCATGAGGTGGCTGAATACCTCTGGGACCTTTCTATTTAACCATTTTCTAGATAAATACCACATGGTGTGTATCTTACAGTCTTATTTGTGGTCCTTGGTATTTTTTTCTCCATATGGCTTCTTCAGTTTTAATGCAGTTTAGGGTTGATGGTTGTTAAGCAGATCATTATTCCTGTTCATTGATGATATGGCAGAAGCATCTGTAAAGTCAGGAGGCAGCTTTCAGAACTGTCATCTGCTGAGGTCAGGAGAGGAGATTTGCTTCTCATGGTTGGAAAGAAAGCAGTTGGGCTGCATAGCGGTCACAAGAAATACGGATTGCTTTCAGAAGTCTGATCTTAAAGATTGGAGTTCACGTACAGTAGGATAACACCAGGTATTTGAAGCACTCATGGCAAATCACTGACGTGTGGACAGAGGTGATGTGTTCTGGTGCAGAGTAGAAGTCTTACTAACTTTTAGAAGTTTAAACTGCTACATTATAACACTAAGTAGAGTCTTAATGGAGGTTCTGTCAAATATCATATGACACTGGCTATCATATGGATGGCTTTGCAAACTTTTCCAAGAAGGTTGTAGCTAACAATGGCAGACTTTTTTTTTTTCCCCCTACCTATATTTTTGTTTGCTCCTACTTTTTTGCATGCTGATTCCATTGACTCTGAAGCCCGTTTATTCCTGACTCTGTTGTGGAGAGGAGCTCCTTGGCCCATAATTTAGACACTGTGGTCTGTTCAGATTGCAATTGTCAAGCAATTGCAATTGCTACTTCTATGATATTTGGACCGAGGACCAATTTCATGGATGTAGAGATATACATTGGCTATGTCCTAGTTTTGTGCCAGGTCAAGACCTGGACAAGAACCATCTCTTCTGTATTGTGTTTTCCATGTGAAGACTATTTAGGGGTGTGGGCAGGACAGGAATGATAACATGCTCAAGCATATCATCAGGAGATCAAGAGTTTGAGGTGCACTAGAGCCTGATTGCTTCATACTTCAGAGAACTAGTGTTCACAGGGAAAGTTATTTTCTTTTGGGAATGATACTATAACCTTATAACCTCTGATTCAGAAATTGGGGAGAGTTAATTCATTAAAAAATGAAAGGATTTGGTTACATTTCTTTAGCAGTGAAACAGGCTAGCTAGTCCTTTTAACTTTCAGTCATATTTAAAATAATCAAACAATCCCTTTTAATTTGTATAAATCATGAGTCTAAAAGCTGGAGAGGAAACAAGACTTTTGTTTCAGTCTTTTTTTTTTTTGTAATACAACTGTTGCTATAGTGATAGCACAATCTTCAAATGTTAAGCTATATCCGTAAACTGGACACTTGTGATAATTATTTTTATTACAGATTTATTCAATGTCATGATTTGGGGGGGGGGTATAACTTTTATGGATAATATCAAACGGGGATAAATTTGAGGTTAGCGAGCATACCTTTTCAGCTGTATCAGCTTACTTCTTCACCAGAGGCTTTCACATAGAATATTCACATAATAAAACAAAAACAGATCTGGCTTTGCTAAGCTTTTTTCTAAGCTTTTTAACTATTCTAGAAGAAAAAGACTTAAGGTTTTTGTTTGGTGTGCGTGGGTTTTGTTCTGTTTTGAATACCAGCTACCTGTTTATACTGCTTTTTTTCCTAGTAACTGGGGAGACCCTTCTGTTGGTGTCTGGTATGCTAAATTAAGAGCAGAGATTTGTTTAGTTGTTCATTCTTTTTGCAGGTAAAGAAAGCCTTTTTTGCCTTGGTGGCAAATGGTGTGAGAGCAGCTCCACTGTGGGAGAGTAAAAAACAGAGTTTTGTAGGTAAGTAATTCTAACATTCAGAATTACTTGAATTTCCAGGGTACTTTACTGTTGCAGAAGGTGGTCTGGGGCTAGCCATGGTCTAACATCCTAAAAATACATTGGCGAAGAGGGTTTATTTTCCCTCCTTGTGAGGAGTGAAATGTTACCAGCTTTCATAGTGTTGCTCTGCTTTGGGAATCATGATGATTCTTTTAGGTCCTGACCTTCTAAAATTTGGTTTAATATGTGCGTTTCACTGTGTATTTAAAAATAAAGGTAACGGGCACAAAAAGAATTTGAAAATAGGAACTATAAAAAGAAGAATTTCATGTTACAATATCCTAATATACATGCAATACAAGCATGTCTTTTTCTGCACATTTTCAGTAAGGTGCACTCGAGAAATCCTTAAATACCAGAACTGATGTTGAATGCTAGAGATATGTCCCGTTTTGGGAGAAAAACATTAGATCTATGTATTGCTTTTTTAAAAGTCATGTAATTAATTGCCACAACAATAATCTTCCAGAGTTAGATCTCTGTTGCAGTTAGAAAACAGGGTCATAGTGGCAGTTACAAATAATATTAAATGTGCTTCTTGTGACCTGGAATGTAGATTGAGGATTCTTGGAAATGAATGGTAGAAATGAATTGTAAAGCATTTGTTAAAATATTTTAAATCCAAGGGGGGAGGAGCAGTAGTTTCATGCAATACATCATAGGAATGCTGTGTATCTTTTATATTTAATTTCATTTTCTGTCTGTAACTAAGCTGTAGTGATTTAAAGCTGACCTCTGAATTAATTTTTCCCTTCCCCATTTCTTAGTTTCTTCAGTTTAGATGTAAGAGTAGTAAACAGTGGAGCAATTCCATCTCAAATTTAGACCTTGAAAGCTCAAAAAAGATTAAGTTTTCAGGTAACTAAACTAATCATCAATATTGTATTACATAGTTCGGTGTTAGTGGTTGAAATGTATATACTATGGGTGTACTATCTCTTTTGTTTAAAAAAAAAAGTCACATTTCAATACAGACATTGAGGATTACTGTGAAAATGATTGAATGAAGTTCTTTAATAAGCAATATTCAAGAAAATGGATTATACTGTTCCTTCATTTGAGTCTGAGAGTCTGCCTGACTTGGCAAGTACATAATGAGAATGTGTCTTATTTGAAAAGAAAATGAAAGGCAAGGATAGGTCTCCAATCTTTAAAGATGTTCTAACCCTCCTCTTTTCTTTCCATGCTTTTGGGGGTGAATGCAGTCTGGATTCAAAGTTTTCTTTGGGTCAGACTGAAAGAAGAGGAAAAGCACATACATTATAATTTTGAATATTAATTCAGATGTGTGGTTTTATTCTAAGTGTTGTATCAATGTGAAAGTGAATATACATAGTTTCAGAATTCCACTGTTGATTAGTCCAATGCAAATAGTATGTTACATGGATTTAATGTTTATTAAGTTACATATTGTGAATATAAATAGAGAAGATAGCTGGAAGTTCTATATGTTAAGTATATATCTGAAGAATTTTTTTTATATATCGCTTGTTACAGGAATGTTAACAATTACAGATTTCATTAACATACTGCATAGATACTATAAGTCTCCAATGGTAAGTATGATGTTAAGCTATACTTTTATCATTTGCCATACAGTACAGAAACTGAAACATCAAACTGAAAGATTGATGATGATGATGAATATTATTATCTAAGTCTTTGGAAGCTTAGATATGTTATGGGTATACTCACTGTGGGGTTTTTTTTGAAAGAGAAAATGGCTTTGTGAGCAAGGTAATAGAATGGTATCTGGATACCTGGGTTCAGTTCCCAGCTTTAGCTACGAAGGTCCTATGAGCTTGGGCAGGTAATGTAATCTGTCTTCTTCAGTTATACATGTATAAACATGAGGAATTTCCTTAATGAGTACTAACATTTATTATGTTTTGTGTGGTGCTTACCATAATGATAGCCTTCGTTTTGGATACGAGGTTCCACTTAGTGTTGCAACTGATGACTAATGCATTTGGGATGAAGGACCTGGCTTAAAATACTTAATAAAAACTGGATATGATATAAAAAGTATGAAGGAAAATACTTGATTATTGATCACTGTATTTGTGTTCAGGTTGTTTCAAAGCATATGTTTCGATAGTAATCAGAGCTCTATATAAATGATAAATATCAACCAAGAAGCATTTGGGGGGGGGGATGTTTTAAAGTCACTTGAAAAAGTTCATTGTATTTAAAAAGCAAGTATGTAGCTATGTGTGGTTAACATGTTTAACATGTTTATATCATCATCTTTGTCTCATAACTATGATAGAGCTATTCTGAAAGGAGTATGCGGAATTAAACAGAATACTAGCTTACAGAGGCTTGGATACATTAAAAGGTTACTCTGTTCTTGGAGTGATGGTGTAGAATAAACAAGTTAAACTAGTTAAATGTATGCAAATATTTTAGTTACATGGCTGAGTTGCACAATCAGTTGGAGATTTGTTGACTTCAATTAACTGTAACTTAAAATTCCCATTGGCAGTCAGTAAATGAATTTCTCTTGCTTGCGTGTTCATACAAACATTTACATCCCTTTCTTGTTCCTGTCAAATTACAATTCCCCCTCTACCAATTAAAACAAACATACTATCTTTTATTAGCTAAAAAATCAAGAACAGTTGGATGAAGCAGACATCTGATGTATTAGGCTTCTCAAAGCTCATGTTAATTTTTTAAAATTCATAGTGAAATTCTTGTCAGATGCCAATAGTGCGGTGCACTGTCCTTTCTTCCTGTTAAAGAATTTTTTTTTTTTCTCCCTGGGGATTTACAAGGGGTGGGGGGAGAAGCAAATGAAAAGTGACTGCACACTGGTAACTTCCTTAAAATGGTTTCCATATTGTAATGACCCTCAACCCCAATACTACCAATTTTTCCATGTAACTTTACCTAAGGTCACTGTGTAACTGTTGTCACTCCTATTTACATTGTCTAACATCCTATTCCATAGGTTGTGTTTAAAATGGCAGCAGTAAGGAGGAATAGCTGAGAAGTGACAACATTTGATTTAAGTGATTGATGCAGTCTTCTATTAAAAAAAAAAAAAGTAGTTAAAGTAATTTTCCATCAGGGAATGCTCTAATCTTAATAGGTAAAGTTATGCTGAAAATACAACTCTAAGTAGTCACTCTTTAGTCACTCTTTCTAAATACATCACATCACATATAGTGTGAAGCATGTTGCTGTTCATGTATGAGATAATATCTTTAAATGATTGATGAGGAACATTCAGGTAGTCTCTCCCTATAGTGTGGTCAAAGAACTAGATGTAGCCTCATCTTGTCAGCATCTAAAGCGGTCTCCTGTTCTTCTGATCACTTCAGTAGATCTTCTGAACTGCACTCCACTGTCTTAACTGCCTTTTTAGTCAAGTGCCCTAAAAGATGATTTAACTTATGTAGGAATCTTTTATGTCATCCAAAAATGGTATATTTGAGTAGTCCAATTATAGTATATTAATTTAACATTCCCTTATACTCTTCAAAGGATGCTAATTCCAGAGAGTAATCTAAGTGTAGTCTCCTTTAGCTCAAAGATAAATGTAGTAGGCTTTGTGGAGACTTTTACCCTTCACCTATAAACCTTTCAGCTTCAGCAGTGTTCGCAGAAGTACCTGACAGAGAAGAGCTGTGTGAGGGGTGACAGGCACCTTTGGCCTAGGCTATAGCGAGTGCAATTGCTATTACAAGTGGCTAGCTTGCAGCTTGATACCTTTAGAGAAAGGTAGGTTTCACATCTGAAACATTTTTAGAAAACCATCAGCAAGATGGAAGGAGCTACTGTAGGGAGGTTATGCAGTCTTTTGACAAAGAACTTTGTGAAATAGCTGCTGAACAGCAGGAAGTTGGTGATGTGACCGTGTCTTTTTTGGTTTTGTTTTGGTTTAAACTTCAAAGACTGGACTCTTGAGGGTGGTTTGATGTTATTGCTGATCTGATCTGAGGATAAGCTGCCATCAAAAGGTGCAGACTTGCCACATCCTTTGTCCAGTATCATTTGCCTGTCCTTTCTGTAAGCCAGTTAAGGAAGCTAAACCAGCAGAAAGCTAACATTTTTGTAACTTTTTTTGCCTGTTTGGTTCCCGGGACCAGCTGAACACAGGTCAGATGAGGAACATTGCTGGCACAGGAGAAATGCTGAGAGCATGCATGGCTTAGATGCAGTGTCTGAAAACATTTGAAGAATGTAACATCAGTAAAAGATTAAACTTGGGCTGGGGAGGGGGGGATACAATGTTGGTTCTTCTGATTGAACTGAGCACTAAACCAAGTGCTCTTGCTTGTTTGTAATCAAGTAACAGTAAAATTCATCTCTGTTAGCATTAAGAAGTCAAATGATCAGGGTAAGCTTTTTACTGGTTTGGGTCTGCGAGGAATCGTCAGGGTGTTTACTCTGGCATGATTGTATTAAGGTGAGATAAATTACTGAGGAAATGCCTTTGAGTCTAGAAGAGATCTAGACTACAAACCTAGGCAAGTAAAAGATCTTTCCTGTCCTCTGAAATGATAGGTCCAGTATGGTACTCTGCACTGAGCAGGATTGCACCCTTTCTTCTTGTTATTGCCAAGAAATGTTATTCTGGACTGTTCTTACTCTGTTAGATTGCCTGCAATGAAATGTAAGGAAATTATTCATATATTTATAATATTGTTAATGATTTGGGGTTTAAAATTAATACTTCAAGCTAAATTTTCCTTCTACCCATTGTAGGTTCAGATTTATGAATTGGAGGAGCACAAGATAGAAACCTGGAGGGGTAAGAATATTTACTACTTGGATAATAATTTGAAATATTCTAATGTTTTTCAGTGTAGTGGATTTTTAATTAATCATAGACTTAGCTTGTCTCTCTCCACATACTTTTTAATGAAAGCAGGAATAGTAAAAGCTTGCCCATTTGCTCCTGCTGCTTATTTTTCTACCTAAAACAGTACGTGGACTAGAGTCATCTGGGCTATATGCTACTTCGCCACTTGTTCATGATCAGTACCATCTCACTCTTTAAGAAAGAAAAAAAAAAAAGAAACTGGAGTAAGGCGGCACATACGGCTGTAGAGTTGATGAGTATATGTGGAGTAGAAATGTATCTGAGCCAGGATGCAGAATGAATAGATGACACTATGTATTGAGTGAACTGATGGATGAGCAACAAGCTATGCCTGAGGGAATTGCGTGATGGGACGAGAAAGACATAGAACATGCTAGGTGTAAACACAAGTGCTGAATGCAGGGAGGAAGCTTTATGTAAAAAAAGACTATATGCCATGAAATAATATATAGAAGTACTCCATGCAGCAGACCCTCTCAGAAAAGGAACTGGTAAAGAATTATTTGCTGTTGTTGCAGTGACCCCTGGTGGTAGTCAGTTTAGTCCCGCTTTTAAAACTTTTGTCTTTTTAATGTCAATATAAAGGAATGTGTGTAAGTGGTAGAATATTTAAAGTATATATTGCTCTCTCTCTTCCACTTAATTTTGTACAAATTAATTCATAAAATGCTTTCATAAAAAAGCTAATGTTTTCATATAAATTGGTAATGGTCTATTAATTTTCTATACACAGAGCTTTATTTACAAGAGACTTTTAAACCTTTAGTGAACATCTCCCCAGATGCAAGGTAGGATTTTGCTTTTCAGTCTGCTTAACTTGAAATAAACTAACTCAATCTCAACACTGAATTTAAGACTTCTTTCTATAGTAAGAAACAATGTATTTTGTAAGCTAGAGTACAATAATGAAGGACTCTTTTAATACAATCAAGAAGGCATGGGAGTTTTTTATTCTGAATGAGGACTTTTTTTAATTATCCAAAGAAGAGAAATTTTATTTTAACTTTTGTCTTTTATCAGTGTAATTGTTCTGGTAAATAAACTAGACATGGATCAAAATTAATTGCCAAAAAAATATGCAAAAAAGGCAACATGATGACCCTTCAAGCTAGCCTGCAAGTCATGTTCGTTTCATGAAAATCAAAAGCTGTACAGAGCCTTTCAGCTGTCTTGTTCTCAGCAATCATAGTAATTGAAAACTTACAGTGCTTTTCAACACAAGTAACTTTCCTTAACTAAATGAAAGACAGTATCTGTGTGTTTCGTTCTGCTCTACTACTAGGTTGTGTTCCTTAAAATATAAATGACTGTCCTTTTCTTCTTTTGGAATTTGAAAGAAATAGTTTTTAAACTGCCATTATACCTTATTTACCAAAGGTAACTTGAGAGAGAGCTTTAGTTGATCACTTAACAACTTGCGTACTACTTAATCACTGAACTAGAGAGTGAAGCTCTGATTCTTGCTTTCAGTTTGTAGCATGGGATTGCTTATGCCCTATCAAAGGAAACTGGTGAAGGGAACTCTAGTGATTACCTCAATAGAATTGCCTCTAAGTCATGAATATGTCATTCAATTAAGTCATAAGGAGGGCATTTTGAATGGTAGCTAGTTGCAAAGAATATTGTTAAGATAACAGAATAGTGTAATTGTTTTCAGTCAAAGGTGCAGCAAGAGAAGTACTGCAATAAAGAAGATGCAGTAGGACATGTATAAAAGGATACAGCAAGTCAACTTAAGACCTGATCCAGAAATGGGCTTGGGTTCTGTGACAATCAGACTGCAGCACTTAGAAGGAGTTAAATGATTACTCCAGGAGTGGAATCTACAGTGTGATGGTGGGAATCTTGACTCCATGTACAAATGGGGATAGTTCATCCCTGTAATGGACTCAGAACATACAGTTTATTGTGTATGGGAAGAAGCCTAGTCCAGCAAGTAGGCATTTGTCAAAGTTTTACTAACTTTATTACTTACTAATTTATTGCAGTTGGTTGTCAGCTGTTTTATCATAGCCTTACTAGGACCAAGGGAGAAAAAAAAGCGTTACTTGCAAGAAGAGCAGACTTGCATAGGTTGGAGTATTGCTAAATCATAGTCTGCAGTGTCTGGAGGAATGTTTGAGATCTCCTGAAAATAACTTTTTGCCAATCCCCAATGATAATACAGTGAAATTATTAGATAATTCTTTTGACTTAATTGCAGTATATGCACTTACCATAAAAATGCTCTTCCTAGAAAATGTTATAGAAGTTTGGGATTGAGATGCATTAAGTGCAAGAACACTCTGTTTTTCACTGTTTGTCTGTCTCTGAACAGAAATATGCATTCTGAGTGCAGGGATACTGTGAGCACAGCACTCATTGGAAAAGCAATTTACACTTGTGAAGAAATATTTCTGCTATACTTTCTACCACAAAAAGTCACCTTCCATGACGTTTTCTTACTGGTTTTAGATGTTCATGGGCATATTGTTGTTGATGTGTTTTACCAGCTGCAAAAGTTAATTTGAAATCCCTTAACTTCTGTTTTCTATAACATTAAAGATAATGCAAATAATTACTCATTGTATGTACTTCATGGGGGTTTGTAAATATGTGAATATATCACTTGACATTACTCATTGTCAGCTAGAATTCATTTTAAAAAAAATTGTTTTTCCCCTTAGCCTTTTTGACGCTGTATATTCATTGATCAAAAACAAAATCCACAGATTGCCAGTTATAGATCCCGTCAGTGGAAATGCACTTTATATTCTTACCCATAAAAGAATCCTCAAGTTCCTCCAGCTTTTTGTAAGTATTTAAAGTTATGCTTTGCTTAACTGATTTTGCCACCCCCCTTCCATCTTGAAGTAATTTAAGTCTTAGTACAGAAACTTCGTGATAAACTTTCATATTCATTGTGTCTGTGCATATATTTTTTTGATAATGGAGAAATTAAAGCTTGATGTAGGACCTGTCCATCACCTTTACCTTGTTTTAGTCACTTAAAGAAACCTAAACACCAAGGACTTGTCTTGGCTATTTTGAGTAATTTGCTGTCCTTTCTGGAAGATCTGCTCAGCTTCAGAAGCTTGTTTACATGGATAGAAAAATGAATTGTCTCCCAGAGACAAGATTATCATTACTCACTGTAGCTTATTATCAGTCATAGGAATAAATGGGAGGCCAAACACAGCAACAAGAGTTCAAAAAAAGCATTCAGCATATAGTATGTTTTGCTGTCTTCTCTCTTCAGTTTCGGTGGGAATGACATAATGTAGGATCAAAAGCTTTTAGTGCTGGGTTACTACAAAAATAAATTAATGTGAAAAAAACTTAGTTACATAGTCTTAATTTAGAGCTTCTTTGAACAGAAGTAATGCTTCTAGATTTGAGCTTGTTTTGGCTTTACATTAATCTAGTAGCAGATTACTGTAATGATCTGTAACAATCATGTGGAGTCCATAAATCATAGAATCATAGCATCGTTAAGGTTGGAAAAGACCTCTAAGATCATCAAGTCCAACCGTCAACCCAACACCACCATGCCCACTAAACCATGTCCCTAAGCGCCTCATCTACACGTCTTTCAAATACTTCCAGGGATGGTGATTCACCCACGTCCCTGGGCAGCCTGTTCCAAGCCCTGACCACTCTTTCGGTAAAGAAATTTTTCCTAATGTCCAATCTAAACCTCCCCTGGTGCAACTTGAGGCCACTTCCTCTCGTCTTATCGCTTGTTACTTGGGAGAAGAGACTGACCCCCACCTCGCTACAACCTCTTTCCAGGTAGTTGTAGAGCGCGATGAGGTCTCCCCTCAGCCTCCTCTTCTCCAGGCTAAACAGCCCCAGTTCCCTCAGCCGCTCCTCATCAGACTTGTGCTCCAGGCCCTTCACCAGCTTCATTGCCCTACGCTCCAGCACCTCAGTGTCCTTCTTGTAGTGAGGGGCCCAAAACTGAACACAGGATTCGAGGTGCGGCCTCACCAGGGCCGAGTACAGGGGCACGATCACCTCCCTACTCCTGCTGGCCACACTATTTCTGATACAGAATGATGAGTGAATATAGATTTCCTAATATATATACCAATCATATGGAAATACAGTGGGTGTAGAGAACGTGGTAGGTGCAGAAAACTGCACTGTAAATACATACATTCATTCTGACTTTCCTAGATGTCAGAGATGCCAAAGCCTGCCTTTATGAAGAAGAATCTGGATGAACTTGGAATAGGAACTTACCACAACATTGCCTTCATACATCCAGACACTCCTATCATTAAAGCCTTGAATATATTTGTAGAGAGAAGGATATCGGCATTACCTGTTGTGGATGAGTCAGGTGCGTGTTGGGTCTTCTGTAAACAAAAGTGTGATAAGATAAATGGTGCTGAACCCTGGATTGATGTTGGGGCGGGGGGAAGAGGAAGAAGATTAAAAAATTTTAAGAAAAGGGGGGAGGGGGAGGAAGGGAATATAAAGAAATATTTATGCAAGATGTAGGCTGATAGGCTTGGAAGAACTTCATGGTTTGGTGGGTTGTTTGGGGTTTTTTTCCATCTTTCCTTCTTGACCTGTCTGTTTTCTTTCTGTATAATTGTAAGATAACAAATGAAAGCAGGAAGCAAGAAAACTAATGTTGTATTTTAAGCACTTTATTAACTTTTCTTTTTCTTTTTAGGAAAAGTTGTAGATATTTATTCCAAATTTGATGTAATAGTAAGTATCGCTCTTCAGATCTATTAAGTATTTTATATGCAGTAAGCATTTGCAAATTAATTTGTTAATTTGTCAATTTTTGCTATTTTGTTTCTTAGGCTGTAGTTAACAAACAGAATAAAACAGATTCAATTCACCCTGCACAGGATTTTTTATTATTATTTTTTATTTAAGCTATCCTTAGTAATACTACTTGCACACAGGCATCTACTGCTCTGGATGTTACCCAAAACTAGATCTGGCTGTACTACTACAAAAAGAGGGCATAGACTTTTTATGTTTGTTTCTATTTTTGAGATTGGACTTTCTTTTCCCAGCTGCTGCCGTTCCACAGTCTGTTTTCAAAGAGAATGCAGATTTCTTCATGCAGTCTGGGTACTTTGTACGACTTGACCTTCTCAGTGAATTAAAACTACTTGGTCCATCCTTTTGTGTGAGTCTCTGACTCCAGAGTATTGCGTCTGTATTCCTTCTCATTTAGATCTAATTCAGGCCACTGTTTCTGGTTTTCCCTCGGGAGTGCAACAGCGTAGTCAGATTCATGCCATGATTTGCCAACCTCGGAGAGCAAGGGCTCTTCTATTCCTGTTATCTTCAGAAACTTGAAAAATATATTTAGGTTTTTTAATCCCTGTCCCCTCCTAGCTGTATGCACCTGCCTTCTAATTGGAACTTCTCATAGCTACATTATTTTTTAGAGATTTAAGTGCCCAAATTGCTTATTCCATCAGCCTGCTAGTGCTAATGAAGAATCCAGATGTCTGAAATACTGCATAGAATGCTTTCAGAAATAGGGAGAACAGTCCCAAATGGAAATACTTCAAGCTTATAAATATTTCTGGCTGCAAACAGCGCTCTTAATACTGAAAATTTTGTAATGTCACTGTTTTTGCCTATCTTTTCTAGGCGTTTGTCTTTTTGTTCTTTGGGATTCTCTACTGTGTAAGAGCCTGTTCTGCCATAAAGGCTGGTCAGGGAATAGGTAGTAGCTGTAGTGAGAGTGATACAATATATCAAAGACAATGAAATTTCACATTTGGTGGGTTCAGTGTTTCAATTTATTTTGTAACTGTGTTAGACTTTGAGGCAGGACATGTTTCCTTTACTACCCATTCTTTTTCAGAAAGACACCAAAAGGAAGAGGGTTCCTTATGTTTTTCACTCCTTTTCTCACTTTAAGTGATGGGGCAACAAAAATCATAGGATTTTTAGAGATGATGGATCATTTCTTTGGAAAAATTATATATTGGGATCAGAGAAAAAAAAAAAAACACCACAAAACCAAACCAACCAACCAACAACAACAACAAAACCCCAAAAAACCGCTACAAAGGCTTTAGGATATAATTGTTTGCTCCCAGCTAGTAACATGGGAAGGAGTCAGGGCATCTATTGATTATTTGAGAGTTTCCTCACATATACTAATTTGCTTATGAAATGGGGGGAGAAAGATACTTTGTTCTTGGTGGTATGGCATCCTTGAACATCTTCTAGGTTTGAATGTGGATGTACTCTTTAATGTCTTTACAATAAAGCAGTTTGAAGATATGTAATACTTCATTTGCTTTGCCTGCTAGCTTCTATTCTTATAAGATAATCACCTCTGAGGCTTCTAGTTTTTCATCAGTCTGCTTCAACCTGATCTTCAAGCTTTAAAAGAAGAAAAAAAAAAAAGATCTGAGATGTATAATCTGATCTTCCGATAAACATAGAATTTGCAGGATTCAACTGATGATTTTTAAATTTAAACCATGTGGCTAATATGCTTAGTTAAATCAGTGTTTTAAGCTATGCCTGTATATACAGCTGGCTAAGTTGATAGACTTCTTTCATTTTAATACAGTTCTGAATTCATTTTCAGGTTCTTGATGGGAGAAACCTGGGAATGGTGTGATGGTATAGAAATAGCTTTATATTACACTAGTTATTGCAGGTAGGGTGACTTCAGTTTGCGGAGGCTTTTTGTGTTCTCCTAATGTCCTTCATTAGGAATTAGTTAAATGAGTTAACTAAAACTGCTTGTATCTTCATGATCATCTCAAACCTATCTTGTCACGTTCAGTGTAATTCAATCCAAAAACTTGACCAATCACAGTATATTCTAGCCAAAAATTAATCTCATTTTATTGCTTGGTCCAGTGTTTTCATTTTAAAGGTCTGTCTTTGTTTGTCCTTCAGTGCTTCAGTACACAAAATCAGTAGGCCAGGATGTGCCACCACTATCAAAATATTGCTATGGTCTCACCTAAAAAGAAAGCTTTTGCTGGTCTGGATAAAGTCCTGTTGCCACAAGCATGGTCCTGTTCTTAAAAAGAAAGTTGAGAATGTCAGCTTTCAAACTCTTTTAATCTTCATTCTTTTAGTGGTGGTGATGGATTTTCATTGATATTATTTTTATAGTACTTATTAAAATATATATGCACACACACAAAAAAAAAAGTTGTTGTCAAATGGCAGTGCCAGCACAGTCCAGGAGAGGGAGTTGGAGCCCACAAATAAGAAAGAAAATCTTACTTGTTCTCTACTTAAATCTCCACTAAGATCTACTTCATGGGTGGTGTTCAGAGCAGTTGATGTCCTCCCCTATGCTATAAAAAACAAACAAAAAAAGTTTTTATATTCTTAAAGTATATTCTGTGTATTCTAAAATCTGTAGAACTTCATCTTTACATTTCCTACTCATGGCAAAAGCAGGATGAGTGACATCAAGCCAAATATCAGATAGCAAAGTAAGGAGATTTTCATTGGCCTAATGCACATCACAAAACAGTTTTATCAATTAACCCAGTCTGTCATACGGTGTTTAACACAATTGCATGCTTGACTGTTCCCAAAAACTGAAGCTGAAGAGCATCTGCTTTGTTTAATTTGTGACTTGGAATAGACTCAATTTACACCAGAAATGTGTACCTACTTGATGCCAAAATATTTACTTTATTGAGTACTTTATTACTAAGTACTGAGATGTGTTACGTGCCTTGGTTTTGTTTTTTTTTTTCCCCAGAATCTTGCTGCTGAAAAAACATATAATAACCTAGATATCACAGTGACGCAAGCCCTACAGCACCGTTCTCAGTATTTTGAAGGTGTTGTAAAGTGTAGTATGCTGGAAACACTGGAGACCATTGTGGATAGAATAGTGAAGGCTGAGGTGAGTTTGCATTTTATTCTTCCCTTTACTGTAAGTTAAAAGTTGTATTACCAAACTAATAAATAGTAGAAATTTATCATTTCTAAGTTATTTTTGACTACTTGGTGAAAGTATTTTTTTCATAACTGCATCTGTTGGGTATCAGTTTGCTTTGTAGACTTAGATTATAGATGCTTATAGGGATGTGCAAAGTCTTGTACAGTACATCTGTAATAATACTCTGTTATTTGCATTTCTGTTTTATGGCATTAACTGAATTGAATGCAAAGCTTCTTTGAAAGAATCAAGTTTCTTTCAAGCCTGCCACAAGTTTTGCAGACAAATAATTCTTTAAACTCCAGCTTATAGCTAGGTTGATTGGCATATTGTTCAGGAAATGTAATGGGTACAATTAGTTAATGCATACTGAGTGCTGCGCTGCTCTCATATAAATACTGTGAAACAGGGCCAGAAAATAAATTCTTGTGAAGAAGTCTTCACTAACTGCTCTTGTAAATTATTTATCTGTGTGGTTTCCATTCTTTTGGTGCTGTTTATCTTGTTTGTTAGTACTGGGAACTTTGTTATACACGGAGGTGAATGAGTATGTAGGTCTTCCTCCCCTATTACGCCTCTCTGCAGAAGAAAATCGGTATTACCATTTTCAGTTGTCTCCGAGGTGTGATCAACTCCATTTAGATGCTTTAACTTCTTCATTTACAAGATTTTTTTTTTTTTTTCATCTTCAGGGCTGTAACCATGCATATACTTTATATGAATAAAACTTCCACTTTATTAATAACCCCTTAGAACCTCCATTAGGCAATTTTTACTTATAACTTTCTGCATTTGCTTGAGCTTCTTCCTGAAATTGAATAATTTTAGCTGATATATATTGCTGATATACAGATTTCAAATTTGGATAATTTTATTACTATCTTAAGAAGCTTCAGGCATTTGGGTTTTAAGAACAACTCCTACCCTTTGGTTCAGTCTAAACATAGTGAGATTATATGTAAAAATGAGTCAGTCAATACTACAAGCTATTTTTAGCTGCCAGATGACTGCTTGATGTTACTGGAAATGAAACAAATGAAACAATTACATTGTCCATTTTTCTTGAATTCATTACACTGAGAGAATAATAAAATGATTAAATATGTGCATATACAAAAACTAATAACCCCATCTAAAATATCACTAACATAGTTCCATTAAAAAGAAAACGCAACAATATTTTTCTCTCTTTTTCCCCCTCTTTTTCTTTCCTCCCTGTGTCAGGTGGGTATGACTGTTCAAATAATTCAGAGCTCCTCTCTTCTTGTATCTAACTAGCAACGAAGTGGTTGACCTCAACCATAAATTAACATATCTACTAAGTCAAGACTGGTGCAGCTTTCTTGCTATCACCTCTGTGTGAAGATGAGAAAAATTCTTTTCACTTTCTTCACCATTATATCTGATTATTTGAATTTAAAATAATGAAGAGAGAGAATTCACTTAGGTAAAAAGTAAACGTGTAAACAAAGTAAATTTTTGACAAACACCCTTAGGATCACTCACTTATGAGCTGTGATTTTTAGGTTATACAACTCTGTGCCCACTTGCAGTGGACTCTGGTGCCAGGGCTGACATTAGGGCACTCTCCTGGTTCTGCAGTGGTCTTTCACTGCTGTAGCCTGCTCTGGCTGATGAGCCTCAGGATATAGGAGTATCCGCCTGCTTTCCCCACAGTTAGGATAAAAGTTTTGTAGTATAAAACGCTTCCTAGAATAGATCTGTAATGATAAAATCATTATTTAAAAATACAGTCTGACTGTTGATAAATCTTTCTTCCAAGTTGTGTCCTTGTGTTTATTAACTCTACAGTGAGTTTGCACAGATAAGTTGAATCTTTTTTTCTGTCTTCATGCAAAATGAGGATTTTCAAACCAATCTGGCACTCAGTTTCAATTGTGTAGCCCTATGAGAAAAATGAGGTTAAAACCAACTTGGACATGTCAAGATACAAGTTTTAGTGCTGTGCCTCTCTCTATTGAGAAAGTATCTTTCAGAAGGAAGCCTCATTTTATTACTGTGTCTTATTTTCTGAGACCGCAGTCCTGAGTTGTGCAGAGCCTGTAAGTTGGGGAAAAGTGTTTGATGAGAGTGCCACTTTTTGAGAGCAGAAGTATTTTAAAGACCTAGATCTTGGCTTAGCTGTCACTTCAAATCTGATTTTGTTGCCATGTCAGATAGCTGTGTGCTTTTTTTTAAACATGCACTAGTTTTCATTTATGTAGGGTAAGCACATTTATACTGCTGTGTGAGATTGGTATTGCTAACATTTTGACCCGTTCTTTTTTTTTCTACCTGTCTTCATACTGCATTACTTTTAAGATTTTTTTTGTTTTGTTTTGTTTTTCTTTGCTTTAGCTTTTATTTTAAATCAGGCAAATATCTCAAAATATTTTCCCTGCTTGCAGGTTCATCGTTTGGTGGTGGTGAATGACGCAGATAGCATTGTGGGTATCATCTCCCTTTCTGACATTCTACAAGCTTTGGTACTCACACCAGCAGGTATGGATGTTGCCTTCTGAGCTTTGCCATAAGTTATTTGGTAGTGTGTACACCCTGCTGGTTTTAATTTATTTGACAATGACAAACTTTTGATTTTCAACTTTTGTAACTGTTTGATCATAGTTCTTAAATACACTTTTCACTTCTCCTCAGGAAAAAGCTGACAAAATATTAACTGTCAGTCTTTTGTTCACTGAGGAATGCATGCAAAAGCTTCATGAATGTCATTGCTGTCCATATATCTTCTTTTTAGAAAAAAAGGTCTTGATTAATGTTTTAACAGGAAAAACAGGATTAAGTTGAATGTTGCATGTATAGAAAACATCTACAACAGGGCGCCTTCCCCACCTTCCTGAATTTCTGTACTCTGGCCAAGTGCTCCTAGTGTGGAGGCAGCTGTGCTTTCCACTAGCTCTGCAAAACCACCTCCTCGGAGCCCTGCAGTTGTCCAGCTATGCTGTGGGTTTTGGTTGGCATAACTATGTCAGAGACGTCACCCCAGGCCACCAGAATTATTCCAGTAGAAATCTCTAGTGTATTACTAAACATGATCAGGTTCCTCTTAACAACAGTATCCAACAATAGATTTATTTCTGCTACTTTTATGTTGGTTGGTTGGGGGGGAGGGGGAGATTGGGTTTTTTTGGTGGTGGTTTTTTTTTTTGTTTGGTTTTGGTGTTCTTGTTTTTGTTTTGTTTTTTAAGTTTTGCCCAAGTTACTAACCTGCTTTATGTTCTTAATTGTAACTTTACTTTGACCACATAAATTACTTCAATGTCACAACAACTAAAGCAAAGCCCTCTTTTGGCTTTGTGAGGAAGACAAAAAATGTCTTGAGGATTACAATTTTGCCTCAAAAAAAAATCAGACTAAGCAAACGGAGCTGGATAAGTCCTTCAAAAAAGAAAGTCTAAATGTGAGCTTAACTGGGATCTCTTGCTTGCGCTGATAGATAACATGATAATGTAAAAGTCTTTCTCCTCTGTAGATTTTTAAAAAAATTAATGTAGTTTAAAATAGTAAGATTTCTCCTCTGAAAAGAAGCAATCAGTGATACTGCTGGAAATATTATGTCAGTGCATCTGGTTCCTTTTAATGACTTGGAAGAGCAAGTAACCCAGCCTTCTGTGAAAGGTATGGATGAGTATGAGAAATCAGCCCAAAGGCCTGGGTCAAATGGACTCATTGCCTAGAAAAAGGAACGGAGGGGTATATGTCCTTCCTAGGAGAGAGATGTAAAGAGGTAGTTTCCCCCACGACTGGAGGGTAGAAGGGATCCAAGGAGGGTAGATCTTACTGTTAAGGGAGCAAAGTTTAGACAGAAAAGATGAATCTGGATACTGACAAACCAAGAACTTTGTTATATTGGAATTACATGGATACTTAAGTTGCAACTCTGTGAGCTGATAAAACAGTGCCCTGTAATTAAAAAGGGCAGTTCCTGCTCCCATACGCTGGGCCATGTGCTTCTGGCATTTAGCGTGTGGCAGCACCCACGCTCATGAGATCCCTCTGTGAGCTGCTTTAACTCACTGATCTAACAGGAAACTGAGCCAGCAAAAAAGCTGCAGAGTTTTGTCAGTTTGGCACACTAAATTGGCTCAAAGAAGAGTCTAGTACTAAGTACAGGGGTTAGAGCAACAGAGGGGGCAGGATTATGCCACTGGAAGAGGTGAGGTGGGGGAAGGCATTTTTTTAGGAGCAGTTAGGTGTTAGATTGCAGTTCCACAGGCAACTGCCTGATTTTAGATTGGGATTTGTCTCATGAAGTGAGGATGTCTGCAACGTAGATCTAGTTTGCAGAGTCCGGAGTGTGATTTACCTCTTAAAGTGGATGCATAAGAATGACCAGATAAATCATGCCCTAAACGTATCCATTTCTCTTCACAGACTAGAAAGGAAAATTTATTGACTGGCAGGAATTAAGGCCAGCCTACATTAGGGGAAAAAAGTATCAGTTGTGATGAGAAAACTGGATGTGTTTAACGAATTTTTCAGTGTTTGATTATATATTACAAGTAGTAACTCCAGGTTGCTGGCGAGAGATTCTTGCTCTCTAGAGTTGGATGCTGAAGCCAAACTCACCATAAGGTTCAGTCGTGGCCCAGCATGTGGCTAGTTTGAGTACTTGGAGAAGAGGCAAAATGCTATACAG